CTCGAGTTGCAACCAGAGTCACGGAACGGATTAAGTTCATATCCCGAGGTACCACTGTAGTATGAAGATAGTCACTCATGTCCTTGTCACTTTGGGCCTGAATTACCACAATTCACTCCATGTGGGGCTGCTTTTGAAGATCACCCAGAGACTATAGCTGGTGCAAATTTCTAGCTGCCTCTGTGCTTACTGAATAATCAGAGTTTTGTCACACATCACTGCTGTTACTGCATGGGTTACAGTCTGTTTCTGAATGTAGTTTAAGGTGCTGGTTATCTCCTATAAAGCTCTTTATGTCTCATAACATAGGCATCTTAGAGACTGTCTCTCCCAAGTAAATTCTGTCTGCCCAACTCTGGGGAGTACAGAGCACCTCCTAAAGGACACCACCTATCAGGGTATGTGACAGGTGTGGCATAGAGGTGGCGTTCTTGAGGGCTGATGTCTTCTCTAGGAACACCATACTGCCTGTAGCAAAAACGGCACCATTCTTGCTGAACAATAATTCAGACCAGATTTTTCCAAAAGGCTTTTGATGGTTAAGTAACTAGAGAACGATCCTCGTTACTGTTTCATTATTATTTATTGTTATGGTTTTATTGGTTTTTCAAAATTGTATGGCTTTTTGTTAGGGTGTTTGGTTATTCTGCATACTGCCTAGAGTGCGTTTTATCAAACCTATGAATATACCGTATAAATACATTTCCTCCAGTGATTGACAAAGATTTGAAAATGCTGAGGTGGTTGCAGTGGGAGGCAGGGCCTGCAATTCTCTCTCTGCATTATATTACAATGCCCAAAAGAGTCACGTACTTTAAGGTGAAAGATTACACACCAGTGCTTGTTTTAAAAATCTAAATGTTTTGTTGTGTTTAATGAATCTTAGAGAATTTGGACTTGATCAGAGAAATGATAGCAGAAGCACTCAGCTTTTTCCTCATCATGCGTTTTCCCACACAAATTCTATCTAGCAGGCTCCTTTCTTCCACCCCCTGCAATGAATTCATATCTGGAACTTCTCATGGGGGAAAAAATGAATTAAGGATTTGCTGTATATATTACTGCAATTTTTTTTTTTTTTTTGTCCAACTGAGTCTAACAATGTAGAGATGATTAATTTTCAACAGTTGGGCCCCTATTTCACTAATTTTCATTTAGTACGGTACACATACAAAAATCAATAGTAATCCTTTTTGGTAGATTTGAGTGTAGGAATATTTTAAAACTCAGTATTTCTATCACTCTTCCCATGACCTTCCTTCACTGTTCTACTCCCATCCCGCCATTCACTCATATTCTAACCTAGAGTTCTCCAGTCTGATGTAGTGGACTTTACATCTCAGAAACCCAGCAGGGCTGGGAGAACGTCTGCCCCACATTGCCACTCCATCCTACCTTCCATTCCCATTCTCTCCCCCCCTTCTGTGCCAGATTGGCTTGCTGACCCCCCCCAAATGTTGAATCTGCCCCCCCCCCCACATACACAACACACACACACTGATTACTCCCAGATATCAAATGAAAAGCTTGACTGGAAAAGAAACAAGATACTTATTATGCATATATTTTTTCAGTGCCATTTTTTCTTTATTATATATTTTTCTAAGTTCTTTTTATCTCTTTAATTTTAATGGTTTAACTTATATTAACTTATGTAATATTAATTTATAATTAATGTTACTTTTTCTGATAGTTTGGTATAACATTTTTTTTCAAAAAATAAAGAAAATTGGTTGTAATAGTAAATCTGAATGGTCACGGGCAGTGGAAGACTTGATGTGGCCAGGGACATAAGGAGAGCCCTCTGGGCCCCCAGGCAGCCCTCAGAGACAGGCCCCCTCTTCTAACAGTTAACATATAAAAGATTATATCCATGGAATACTTTTATACCACTACTTCCCCGTTGTTACATTTGTTACCAAAAAGTGACCTGTGTTGCAAAACCAAAGCCTTGCATTCTGTTTTGGCTGTTTTAAAACATACATTAACTAAAGTATATATTTCTTACTGGAATGACTTTTTGCCTTTTATTACATTCTGGAGAGGATGACATGGGTGACCCACTTCTCAATACTCCAGGCAACAGACTGAGCAAACTAGGAGTTTGTACTGTAATCCTTGTTAGATTTAAGAGGATAAAATACCTGGGACTGCAGATGAATGGAAAAGATGGCTGTCATATGCAGGAATATTTCTAGAGGCTCCAGGGGAAGAAATCGGCTGCATACCTATGAGAGTCCTGTGGTTAGGTGGTTTTTATAATGGAGTAAATTGTCAGAAATAAATATTGATAGTATATTTCTAGAATAAATTACATACCAGTGGGTAGACCTCTCATTCCATATCCCTGGAAATGCTCATTATCTGGACAAAGAAACAATGACAGAAATAATATCAACTTTACTAAAAAGTGGCTTCATCTTCCATACATTTCCTACATTCACAACTACTAGAGCTGTCCCCTGGGGCTAAGGAAGGGAAGGTTGTAAATCTGTAATCTTTCTATCTAATCCTTCTGAGCAAACCATTTCATAACAGTAGTACAATTTCATCATTTGGGGGAATCAAAACTTTTCAATAGGTCAAAACAATGCAAACGAATTTATTTTGTATCCCACCGTTATCTACATGTAGTCCTTGCTTAATGACCATTTGTTTAATGATGGTTCAAAGTTATGATGGCCTATGAAAGGGTGCTTTATGGTCTATAAAGCACCCTTTCGGCCATCGTAAAACATTGCACTGCCCCCCATGGTCACATGGCCGCATTTCGGGGACTGGGCAACCGGCTCGCATTTATGACCAGTTGTCAAGCATCCCACAATCATGTGATCACCATTTGCAATCTTCTCTGCCAGCTTCCCCATTGGAAGCCATCAGGGAAGGTTGCAAGTGGAGGGGACATGGCAGTTTGCAGGAACAGAGCTCAAATCCTGAAGATTTGAGTTCTGTTCCTCCAGCCCCATCAAGGATTTCCCCTCCATTCATGGAGAGGAGGGGAAACCTGTTGGCAGTGTGAAGGAACAGAGCTCAAATCCTGAAGATTTGCGCTCTGTTCCTCCAACCCCAGGAAAGATTTCCCCTCCATCCACATAGAAGAGGGCAAACCCTTTGGTGGGCCTCAGAAACATTTGAGAGTGAAAGGGCTGCCTGCCAGGAGGATTTCAGCTCTATGTGGAGTTGAAACCATCTGGCAGGCAGCCCTTTTGCTGTCAAAGCTCCACACTGAGCTGAAATCCTTCAGCAGACAGCTCTTCCTCTCCATCTGCTTAACAACCCAGGAGATCGCTTAATGACTGCAACCGGGAGTGCCCGGATTGCAGTTATTGAGCAAAGCAGTAATATGGGTGTCATGCTTAATAACTGCTTTGCTCAACGACTGAGATTCTGATCCCAATAATGGTTGTTGGGTGAGGGCTACCTGTATTCCCTTTTCAAAGAGTTTAGGGCAAGGTACATACCCACCCACCTCTGAGATTATTCATGTTGAAAGATTGCAACTGTTTTGAAGTGGACCAATAAGTTCTATGGCTGGACATAGAAAGAAGTCATGTGGGCTTTTACCTGCTTCTGTTGGTTTGTTAGCCACTTCCTCAGCCTCTGGCTTAGTGACCACCATGGAAGTCATGGGTGTTACAAAGCTGTACTTCAGGGAGAGGTTTAATGCTTGCCTTTCCAGATTTTTTTGCTGTGCTGCTTCAGCCAAAATGCTAAAATACAGAGCATAATTTCCACTGATTCTACATGTAATTCAGGGTTTTTTAATTATAAAAAAATTAGTATGCCTCAGAAGTTTAAGATGTGGTTAGGAATATTCATATTCTTTCACTGAGACATAAAGTGAAACAAACTGAAGGACAAGATAGACTACGGATGAACCAAGAACAAACAGCGTGACTCAAGATAGTGTACAACCAGCAACCAAAGGAAGAAAAGCACTGTGCCTTTATGAACTCTGAATTAGAATATTTAAAAAGAAACTATTTTCTTCCCCCCCACAAAACTATGTTACCCCCCCCCCGCAAAAAAGTCCAAAGATATTCACTTACGACTTCTCTAATAGTTGTCGAATTGTTAAGTAGGCCCATAATCTTTCAATGAAATTTCCAAATATGTATTTCTGATGCTCAAACACTTGTGCTTTTTCTGTGACATTAGCATTTTCTCTCAGGGTCAAGTTGCTTCCGTGCTGAAAAATGGGGGAAGGGATCAGTGTGAGTTATTGATATAATATCCAATCTGGGCTTACATAATACCAGGTTCCATTCTGCAGAACATATCTGAAAGGAGAGGTCCTTTCTGTTTACTACCTTCAAGGAAGCAAAGGCTATAAACATTAGAAATAAAGCACTGCGATGAAATGGTGAATTGCACGGTCAAGGTGTTGTATTCATTGGGCACATTTGCACAGCATGGCAAAGGCAAAATTTGGCTTAACCTGCAGATGACCCTAATAGCTGTTCCCCTTGATGGGGCAACTACAATCCTCTCATTCATGGTTTGTTTTAAGATTTCTTTATCATGCAATATGTAGCACAGCAGCTTCACCTGTGTCTTTTGTACACACACATACCTACACTCCATTTTGTATTTTTAAAAAACTTTGAAGGAAACACACTCTTACTAGTTTTCAGAACTTATCTGGAAGCATAGCTCAGAATCTCATTTGTAAAACAAAACTCTCATCCCTTTTCAATTAGGAGTGGTTGCATAGTACTTACTGCCTCAGCTTTTACTTCCAAGGAAAAAGTATCATTTTCACTGTTAAGTTTTCCAGCAACTACAATTTCAGAGCCATCATACAGCAACTTGAAATTATTCTGAGTAACTTCCACTATAGCATTGCCGAGATAATTCATTTTAACCTCCTTCAGGATGGGAATAGCCACTTCATTATAAAAGCCCTAGAATGAGAGAAAAGGAAGAGAGAATCATGGGAAGTCATTGAATATTCCTTGAATTAAGGAATTATTCATTGAATTAAGATTATTTTAGCATGTTATTGATTTGTTTCAAATAGATACTGACATGCTTTGATCATCAGTCCTTACCTGGAGCTGAAGGGCTGCATCTGAGTCCTCATATATACGTCGAGCAATTCCCCAGTTGTTTAAGGCCATCTTCTCCAGAAAATTATAGCTTACATCAAATCCAAAGCCAAGGCAGTAGAGGAAATATTTTTCTTGATTGGCTTTCTTTATGTTTTCTTGTATTTTTTTAGTGTCTGTTATACCTGTTATATGTATGAACACATACACATACACACAAATAAATGCATTACTATGTTTTAAATTATTTATTGTATTTTAACTTGCTGATTTTTTCTACTTTATCTGCATTAGCTGTTTGAGTGCCATTTTCTGGTGAAAAGGCAGGATGTGAATATGGTATGTGGGTGCATGGTAGAGTAACTCATAAAGTATCTTGCTTAGATGTCTCATTGAACCAAGATAAAGAAATAAGAGTGGTTAATAGGTATGTGAGAACAATAACATAAGAACTAGAATATGACTGCACTACAAAATTCCAAAATGTTAATATCACAAAAATCAAATATATGCTATTTGTAATATGAAGAATGAAAAATTACTTTGGATCAGAGAAGCAGATATGATTTCTGAAATACTTAAATGATCAAGAGATTGGATTTCAGAGCTAAGAAAGATACAGTACTCATTTCTTAGGCTAATCCTCAGTGTAAGGGTGATGGTGGGGGTTGTTTTCCAATATACTTGGAGAGATTTCTATAAAATATCAATAGAAAAATATTTTTTTCTCTCTCTTTGCACCAACCTCAATCCCCTGACCTTCATATAAACGCACCAACATCACACTCACCCGCCCACCCGCAAGCATAGATACATACATATATACATAGGGGAGCTGAATGAATAAAACAACTGGAGAATAAATCTCCAATTCTTAGTCAGGAGAAACATTTGAGGATATATGAAATTGCAAGGTTCATGTGGTGGGGAAAGACTAAGGAAGAAAATCATGCCATCTTAAATACAATATTTTAAAAAATTTATAACATTGTTGAAAAGCATATACTGAAATAAATAAAATGCAAAGGAAAACAATAACAACTGGGTATCTCTTCTGTCCCTAACTTACCAACAGTGGGTTGACCATCTGTCAGCAAAATGATCATTGAAATACTTTTTTCTGGCAATAACTCTGTACGGCTGGCTTCATCCAGAGAATTAATGGCTGTCAAAAGAGCTTCATTAATATCCGTTGCTGCAATAGGAAAGAATTGTGACAATGAATATGATTGTAGTATTGGACTGTTCTTAAAAATGTATAGCAGAACTTTCAAAGCATTTGAGGAAATTTATTTAATCAGATGCAGTTGGAAGTCTCAGTGCAGATAGAATAAATACATGTAAATAAACGAACTTCCACACTAATTCAACTATCCAGCCATTTAAAAGCAGTATTTCTGGACTACCTCCTCCAACTACAATTGAACCACCCAACTCATGCATTCCAGGAGAAATTATTGGTGATCCCCTATTTCTGTGAAGTGGCATAGATCTGCTTTTCAGTGGCAACATTTACACTATGGTATAATCTCCCAGCAGAAATCAGATTGACCCCTACACTTTTAGCCTTCTGGAAATTTTTAACAACTGGAGGGCTTGTGGTAAATGTTAGGATGCCTAGTAGTGTTATTTATTTTGGTTTTATGCTGTTATTGAACATCTAAATCTACTGTGGATGTTTTATGCCTCTTTTTGTCTGCCCTTAATTGCTTTAACTGCTAAGATATTAGATTGTTTATTCATTTATAAATGATATTTATACATGTCACAAACAAATATATGTGGTTTGAAGCCAACTAGTGTTTCTTGATTGCCACTAGCCCCAAAATAGTGCAAATATCATCAGGCTCCCATTGGATGACCAATCAAACAATGCAAAAACCAGTATTAAGCCAGTACCTGGCTCCATATCCATATTTCTAAGTCAGGTTGTGTACATTCTTTCTCCCCAGATCTGAACAGTTGATATAGGAGGAGCTGCAAAGCTGCAAAATCACCATTCCTTCTGTTTTTTTTAAACACCGTCAAAATAATAGCATGTGTTTTTAATGCATTTATTGATTGTTTTCAGCTTTGTTATACGCCACCCAGAGTTGTCTGTGGTGAGATGGGCAGCTATATAAATTAGTATAACAACAATAATAATAGTAGGAATAGTAATATGGTACAGCAGCTGAGCTCAGAGTTCTTGGAAATGGAAAATACCTGCCTGCAAATCCTCCGGATCTTCAGGATTCCAAAGGGGAAATCATTTAACTAAAATTCGTGATGTACCCAGCTAAGCTCAATAAACAGATGATGAACAGAGATGACAGTGTAGGAACCCATTGTTATGGTACTGATTTGTAAGGAGCACAAAATCTTGTATGGGATTGTCATAATTTATACAAGTAGAAATCTCTGGTTTCAAGACAGGAGAATTGTTAATGCAACAGTAATGCCTTAGATTTTCATAATGATAGATTCATAATAAGTCAGCTGCAAAGAACTGACTTTGCTGCCCTCTCAAAAAAGTAAGACAAAGTCAAAGTGAAAATTAAATACATGGAGGAATGAGTGTTATTGTGGTTGGCTGCACAGTCAGCCAAATGTTTAGACTGGATCTGGCATTTTTGTCCACCTATCAAGTCCTTCCCAAGGACCTGAGATAGGCAAATGTTGTTGTTTAATAATATTAAAGGTGTAAGCTATTTACACCTTATACAAGATGTAAGCTATTTCAAGTAAATTATTATTATTATTAGACTTTTATCCAGCCTATGTATGTATGTATGTGTATGTATATAAATATAATTATAAATATAAATATTTTGGTCAACTCAAGGCAGTGAATATACCAAACATATCATACTCCTGCATCCTATTTTCCCCACAACAACAACCCTTATGGTTATTATTGTAATCTAAAATACTCTTAAGAATGTTGAATATAAGAAGGAAGAAAATAATGATCTGATATGTTTTTAAACAGAAAAAAAATATGTCAAGTAATTGTATGAAAAACTGGAATAAAGAAGGCTTGGGTATCAGTTCCAGTTATCTCCTGATTAAATCAATATTGCAAAGATGGACAAATCTTAGTCCTCCTACTTACCTCCTAGAGCATCAATGGCCTGAACATACTGTTTAGCTGATTCCACATTCTCCTTTTTGGCTTGCAACAAAGTGGGGTGCCACTTTGAAATGATACTACTAAAGACAACTAAATTAAAATGGTCTTCAGGATTCAGGTCTTCCAAAATCTTTCCCAAGGCCGCTTTTGTCTATAATAATGAATAAATCAGCACACAGTTAAACTCTGTAGCCTGAAGTTAGCATTTTGACATCTATTGTAATAAGCAGAAATACCTATAACCTTTGACCTGCGCACACAGAAATTTCACTTTTCCTTTGATGTGAATTAGAAAACAAACAAGGATATCTTTCATACATACAATGTCTGCCTTTGATAAAACTAAAGCAATTGTTAATGGTTTCCAAATAAGACAGAATATTTAACCAACATCAGAGGATAACTATTTCCACAGCTCATTCTGAAGCTTCTAGCCAGTTGCTCAGTTACAGTATTTATTGGTTTGTTAGATTTATATTCTATCTTTTCTCCTAACTCTCAAATCATCTTATGACAGCAGTCCTGTGAGGTAGGTTGAGTTAAGAGAGAATGATTGGCCCAGAATGATTGGTACAGAGAAAGAAGAAGCTAATGTGTGTGCCCTGGGAGTAATAATTCACTCAAAAGTTATGATATATACAAAACCAGCGAGGAAATAAATTTGAACAATGGAAGGATGAAAAGAAGGCCTGTTTATTTTGACTAAATTGCATCACTTCTGTTTCTTGATTCACAGCTATAAAAGAGAGAGGAGGCTGAGAATACTTGAGGCTGGCTTGCTGAAATAAAATAGTTTTCATTAGAATTAGACTTGGCATAAAACAAAAACTATGAGTAGACTCAAGAAAAGGCTCTGTTTTGAGAGAAATTACCTGCTGAATTTTATTGCCAATCATAGATCCACTTTTATCTATAACAAAGATGATATTTTTGGGAAATGATGGCATTTCACTGGGTGCAAAATAATGGACAAAATAACCGTTCACAATCTGAAATTAACAAAATATATCATTTTAATATGTTATAGATACATATTTTGATACAGTGGAAGATAAAAGAACTAAAATTAGCTAAATAGAGTACCTGCTCAAAAATACAGTTTGGGTGAAGAAATACATTTCTACAAGTCATTCAGCTCTCCCAAGTACACATTAGCTTGTAGTACAGAAGGTGTTGAAGTCAAGAAAACTAAACCAACCTTTTATCTAAGGACTTCTACTTTAACAAAGTATAAATTGGTATGTATTCCTAGTAATAGATATATAATTCACTTCAGTAAAATATATACCCTGAATGGAAATGACCTACTTTTATTGATATATGAGATCTTTTGACTGTATCTTTTGATTGTATCTGTTTCAACTGGGGTTGGGATTACCCCCTTTCCCATAGGGTACAGACCAACAAAAAGTGTGTGTCATTTCTCTTAAGCCCTTTCCCTGCTCTGCAGTTACACTGTTGTCCACCATCTGTTCCCCAGCCTGAAATTTGCTGACCTTGTCACTGATCCGTGTCCTACCATGACTGCTTCCATTTCATGTTCCTGTCAGTCACTGATCTTTCCTCCAAGATAACGGGTGGCAAAGCTTAACAGATTTTCTCTCTGAGGCTGCCTTGGACAGTGTGGAGTAAGAAAGGGGAAAACTAAATCTAACCCAGTACAGCTTAACCCAGTCTCAGTTGTGGGTCTAGGGATGAGATGAAGTACCTCATGGGTAGATAGCGGGAAAAAGAAAAGAGGTTTCCGGGGCAAGCTTGTGGTATCGGTGCAAGTGGGAACATAGCCTAAGGGAAATTGCAATGAGTTTATGACAGAATCTGGGAGACCTGGGAAATAAATTGGCATTCCCAAGACTCTGAAGGTTTTTATTACATTTCTAGTAAGTTTTTGAACAAACAAGATTAGCTTTTGTTTATGTCCCTTGGGTTCACATTTCAGGACTCTGAATCATAGAAAACATTGGAATCATTGCCCGAAACTGAGGCTGAGACCTCTCTAAATGGTCCTTTCTCAAAGCTAAGGAATTCAGCTAAGTATAACAAAGGGCACAGTCAGGCAGCCACTGAAGTGCCATCGTCCAGTCCAGAAGCAGGCAGAAAAATATGCCACATATTTCATGAGGGCAGTGAGTGCTGCTGTCCTGATCATTTTCCTGAGGAAAAGGATGGGTGGGTTCCCCTGGTTTCCTTTTCCTTCCCACCAAGTATTACCTGCTGATGGGAAAAGCCATCACCTATGAATACCTGGTGGGACAGGGATGGTACGTGTAGGTGGGAACTTAGAACAGCTAGTTTGGCCAACTGACAGCCAGTATGAAGACAGGAAGGTGCTCCATATCCTTGACCTGTCATTTGGGCCATTTTCCAGATAAGGGTGTAGCACAGTAGTGAAAGAACATTAGATTCCTCTCCAAAAATAACTTAGCTGACAGGTCACAGGTGCTGAGGGCAAGGGGTGAGGTGGGTGGCAGTGGTCAAAAACAAGAGAGCTCCACCCTCAACTAGCATTGTAAGGATATGGCAGGAAGTGGCTATGGCTGCCAGCACTGCAAATAGCCAAAGGAATAGGCAAAATGGCACCACGTCTTCCCACCAAAGTAATAAAAACAGTTCTGCCCTTTGTTGGCAGTAGTAGTGGAAAACCTGCATTTGTGACCAAACCAGCAACACACAGCTGGAAGAACATGGCTCTCTTTCCCAGATTAAATCAAGCTTCTGGGTAACACTAGCTATGGAATGCTAGTCCTGTTTTTTAAATACGTGTCTAACACTGTTTCAAAAGAGCACTAAAACCTGTTTCTAGTCTCTCCGGCAGCACAGGCCAAAAGGGCTGTGGAGCTCTGTGTCCTGTGAGCAAAGGAGGGAACCTGCCTGCAATAGCCTAAAGTGGCAGACAGAAGAGAGGCGGATCCCAATGCCTGATCTCATCAGAAAGGGCATGAAGCATGCTGGATCTTATCTATGCAAACTTTCCGCCAGAAGAGGGAAAACGTTACTTTACAACTGGAAAAGCTGAAAATGACTTTTACTGCCTTAGCTCAGAGCTGGGCATGAAAGCAATATCTCAAGGACTCCCCCCCCCCCCATTACTGACAAATGTTTATGACACTGGAAGATTTCAGGATGGACCCTAAATAATGACCATTGTTGTAATCACATGTGAATTAAAAGCATCACATGTTACCTGTATGTCTCCCATGGCAACATTCCTTTTAACATCATAACGTATGAGGAAATCTCCATCTAGAAGAGTCTCTTCCAGCTCAGGGCTTTTCCTTTGTTGACTTAAGGTTGGTTTAAATGAAATATGAGCCTGAACGTTAATGACAAACAAAAACCATCAATCAGACAAGCTAAAAATGCAACAATGATTTCTTATTGTTGGGGGGTTTTCTAAGGAGCTTTAAGAATTTTGGTCCAAATCCATCCACATACCTTGGTCTCCTCCTGTGTCTTTATGAGAGCATCATTCATTTCATTGCTCATGAAGGTGCTTTCTGTTTCTAAGAAGGATATACCTTGTGGCTCAAAGATGTGAGTATCAATCTAAGGAAAAGCAAAAGCAAAGGATGTGATTGGGTCCAATCTTCTAAAGGTGAGCTGGTCTTGACAGGTGGACAAAACTGTTGATGGCGACTTTACCTGAAAGTGTTTCACCAGCTGTTTGGGCTTGACCTTGATGATCAATTCATACTTCCCTAGCTTTCGATCAAGTAATTGCTCATACTCCAACGCAAAGGTAACTTTACCTGCTGCTGCAACATTAACTGAGACACTAAACTTTTCCAATTTTCTTCCAGCCGATCTATAAATGAGAAAAGTATAATTTAGGCTGTGTTTATGTTACAATTTAGTTGGTCACCTCTAAGTTTCTATGTTGGTTTTAGGAAGTCTGTTCACCAAAAGGTCTTCTGACTAGTCTTCAGTATTTTATGGGACTAGATACAATCCTTGTAAGATACTCTCTGTAAATGTTTGGGTTAAATTTGGAAGAATTCATCATATTAAGGCAATACAATGGTTGCGTAAATCCATGCTGCCTTGATTAGATTTGAAGTGAACTACAGAGGAACTTTAAAATACTAAATCAGGGATAACCAATCCTAATTACATCATCTAAAAATGAGCCCACCAAGCATGAAGAAAAACCTGTTTATTACAAAAGCAAAGCAATGAAATTGAGGGCAAGTCTGCTTGAGGATTCTGTATTAGGACAAAAGCAGTTCTGAACCTCTGTGTTCCCATGAAGTCAGTATAGGACTGATACAAAACAGAACTGATTTCTGGCTCAGGTGTAGTATAGTGAAAGCAGATTGCCAGCTTGTTTTGAAGATGCTACACCTCCATTCCCGTTTGAGGAAATTCTTGCTTCATTCTCCATTCTAATTCTAAGATGCAGGTCCTGAAAGAGAAATGCTAGCTTGAGAGCATTGTAGTTCCCGTTCAGTAACTGAGACCAAAATGAGTGAGGATGAAATGGAAGTGTTTTGCCATTTCAGGACTGAGCTAGCTGACATGCAAATACCAGTCTGTTGAGCATTAACAGTGTTGTTAGTTTCATGTTCTCAGCATTTCATGTTAGTAGAGGATAAAAATATGGGTCATCTTTCAGGTGCTTTTGAGGAATTGGGGAAAGGAAATGGTGGCAGTGTGGAAGATTTTCTTGACATCCTTCTAGTCCAACCCCTGTCCAGGCAGGGATCCTCAGACCATCTAGGACAGAGTAGTCCAACCTTTGCTTGAAAACCTCCAGTGATGGAGCACCCACAACTCCAAGATGCAGGCCATTACATTGCTTAATTGCTCTCACAGCAGGATATTCCTCCATATTTCGAATTTGGATCTTCCTTTGTAAAATCTCTACTCATTGGTTCTATCTTTGGATGATAAAGAGAATAAATCCCCAACCTCTTCCCTGTGTCAGCCCTTCAAGTATTGGAAGGCTGCTATCTTGTCTGTCTTTAGTCTTCAGGCTAAACATACCCACTTCCTTTAAATGTTCTTCATAGGATTTAGCCTCCAAATCCCTCACCATCTTTGTTGCTCTTCTCTGCAGTCCTTCCAATTCCTCCTTTTCTTATTGAGGTGTCCTGAACTAGACACAGTATTCCAGATGCAGTCCGACCAGATCCTTCTCACAAGTACTGTTGCTGAGCCAGGTACATCTTCTACATGTGCATCTGGTTTTTCCAACTGAAGTGCATAACCTTAAATTTCTTATCATTCAACTGCCTATTGTTGGATAGGACCCAATGTTCCAGTTTATCATGATCCTTTTGAACTTTGAACCTGCCTTCTTAAGTTAGCAATTTCCTCCAGCTTTGTGTCGTCTGCAAATTTTGATGAGCATCTCTTATATTCTCTCATCCATATGAAAATGTTGAAGAGCACTGGGCCCAGAACAGAACCCTGAGGTACTCCACTACATACTCCCTACCCGTAGGTATAGATATATTAAGGACCACACATTTGTTCAGTTTTTACAATTGAACAACTAACTGTGTATCAGTGTAGTATTGGGACCATTCATCCCTCATGGTTCCATTTTTTCAAGAAGAAGGCTACGACCATCTTTTTCAAACACCTTATTGAAGTCTAAGTACACCACTTCCAGAGCATTCCCTTGTTTTACTAATCAAGTCAATTTGTCCAAAAAAAAAAAAAAAGATTGGTCTGGCACGACCTGTTTTTAACAAACCCACGCTGACTTCTAGTAATCACTTTGTTCCTTTCTAAGTGCTTGCAAACCCACTGCTTGATGATCTTTGCTAGGATTTCTGCAGATAGTCTGTAGTTTCCTAGGTCCACTTTTTCCACTTTTAAAAAGATCAGAACAACATTAGCTCTTCTCCAATCTCCTGTTACTTCCCCTGTACTCCAGGAATTCTCAAAGAGTACAGTCAGTGGTTCTGAGATCACACCTGCCAGTTTCTTTAGCACCCAGAGATTAATCTATCTGGTCCCAGAGACTTGAATTCATTCACAGCAGCTAAATGTTCTGTCAGCAGTTGCTTACCTGTTTTGACCTGTGTTTCACTTCTGCCTTCACCCTGCCCTCTTCCCCTGTGTGGCTTGTAACAGATACATGCCCAAAGAACCCTTTTTTGCTATTTTTGGCATTCACTGCAAGCCTCAGCTCATCCTTAGGCTTCCTGACACATCTTTAAAAATTCAGAGTATTTCCTGATATTCTGTTATCATCATCATCATCATCATCATCATCATCATCATCATCTTCATCCTTTTATCATATATATAGTATGTGTATGTATGTATGTATGTATGTATGTATGTATGTATGTATATAAATAATATTGAAGGAAAAAACAAAAACATAGCCATTACTTGCATTAATACTTAAAACAAATCCTGTTATAATAAAGTTCCTTAATCAAGTTCTGCATAGATAGGTATTGAAGTGATAATGTATTCTAAGGCTATTCAGCTCTTTGGATTCAATCTCCAAAGTTGCTTTGGAATGCCTGGGTAGCACCAGTCTGCAGCACCTTAAAAGCAGCTGTATCTTTAGAGGCATGGCTGCTTTGTAATCAGGTGTTACCTTTGCAGTCCAAAATACCTCTTGAAGATCAGATGTGAAGCTCTGCACAACCCTTATGTATTCCTTTATACTTTGGGTGTGTGCTATATTTGGAAGTATTTGGCAGTAGTAAACAATACATGATCCACCTAAATTCTTTTTGCTGTTGTTGGATTATAAATCTAATCTGTTCCAGCTGACACTGTTCTGACACTATTATTCCTAGGCACCCAATTTGTACTGATAGAGTTCTGCAATTCAGAACAGGAGTTGTGTGAAGTATATGGGAATACAGCATATTTTCCTTCTGAAGGATCAGATATATAGCCTGAGAGGTCTTTGAACTACATGGGGGAACTCAGGTGGTTGCAGCGGCCTGGAAAGTTGTGCCCTCTACATTGAAATATCAGTTAAGGCTGTTTATGTTCAACCACGCTTTGGTTATCTATACTCTGCTGACATCTAAGCTGTGGATTATTTCCCCAGAGATAAGACCAGCCCCCATCTTGATATGTTTCTGGAAGGCCCTGAAGACATGGATTTGCCAGCAGGCCCAGGGACCCCAGATTGATATGGAGCCAATCAAGTGGTTGATTTGATTGTGTTTGTAGCCCCCGTGGGGGTGGGAGGGTTGATGGGTTTTTTGTATTGTGGATTATAATTCTGTAAGCCACCCAGAGTCACTGTGAGTTGGGTGGCTATGTAACAGTGGGAACTGGATTCATTATCTGCATGTGCCAAGGAACAGTGTGTGATATGCACTGAATGGGTCTGGTTAAGAAAAGACATCAACTTAAAAGCAAAACTTGGGAAAAATTCTGGTACTTACTTGACCAATCCAGCACTTTGACCTCGTGAAACGGCAGAATCATACTGAGCTTGGGCAGCCATTTTCTCCTTGATTATTCCAGGATATGTCTTTCCATCTATGGTCCTTTAAAATAGATGTTTCAAAGAGTTCATAAAGGTCCAGAAAAAGGCAAGGAAAACCTGACATGTGGTAGTAAGGTATTTCATGAACAGAAAGAAAATTAAATCCTACATGATAGGATTTAATATAATTTTAATATAATTTTAACTATAATTTAGAAGTGGGACCTTTTAAAGTGTTGAGGGAAAATGTAATTTCTCCCGCTATTGTTCTTTATTCAGCCCAATCAATTGAGGAAATAGGGTTGTACAGACAAACCCCAATGCTTGAATAACTCTTGTGATTACCTTTTAATTTATCCATTTTTTTTTTTTTTTTGCTCTGAATGAAAAATATGAACCTCGTGGTTCTAACACTTGGATTCTAAGTTCAGCCTATCAGACAGATGGAATTAACCTCCCCTATCCTCAGTCTGTGGAATGAGAGTTCTGTTAGGGTTTGGGCATTATCTGTTGTCAAAACTGAATGAGATTTATATTCAATGATTTCAACTGTTCTGAAAATATCTCCCAGTTTTACAAACTTACACCATTATGGTTTGTTTTTAATTTGATCTGTATTTGTGTGCTTTTAGTCCCAAATTACATATTTGGGGAGTTGTATGCTGCTCCAGATTAGGTAATGGGAGTGCCTTTTAAACCTTGAAAAATGAATAAATAAAATTCAGATATTGAGCTGTACTTTAGTGGATTTGCCACCTAAATTTCTCTCATAGATCAGCTTCAAAAAAGGTCTGGTTAAAAGGAGCTATGGGCCTGATGGTATCTACCAGATTTAGCATGAAGTAAAATTTTAGCAATCTTGACATTTTTACAAACTTTGTAAACAAGAAATAGGCATATATCCTGTAGGCCAATTTTTCTCAACCTTGGCAATTTAAGATGTGTGGACTTCAACTCCCAGAATTCCCCAGCCAGCAAGCAAGTTGAGCAACACTGCTGTAGAAGTGTTGTAGAGAAATATATTTACTCCTTTTGTTCTATAGTCCTCAGCAGGAGATGGACTGTCTCCTCTTGCCCAAATTCTGAAATGCCCCATCTTTTAAAAAGCCTAAAATGGGTGCTTACATGTTGAAGTTGGTGATGAAGGCTTTCTTGGGTAGCTCTACTTCAAAAAGAGCCTCCTTAGATTCATTTGCCCTGTTGACAACTCTGCTGGTGATGACCGTGCGGGCATACCGTGACGTGACTCTGCAGTCAATGTTCAGGCTGTAGATTTCAATGGCATTCTGTGGAAGAAGAGGGAAATGTTCTATTGATTTCTTTGCTGGAAATCATTACTGGCTAACAATTGAACAAAGGCTAAAAATATTAGTAGCAATCAACTTTTGATATGAGAATTTTCTGTAATAAAAATGCAAAAGTATTCTTTTAAAATATTAAACTATTGCTATATTATCTGAATATATCATATAAAACATAAAATACAGTACTTTGCTGAAAAACGTGCTGTCGTAAGAATTCGATTTGTTTTGCTGTGTCTGGCATACCAACAGCCACCTCCAAACCCTGACATTTCGGGAGTGCAGTATCTACAGCCAGGCAACCTTTTCTGACACCCAAGAAAGAAAATCCTATAAACATCTTCACCTTCCTGAAAGAGCACCCACCCGCCCTGCAAAATGCATTACTCTCTCATGATATCCTGAATCAGCCACAAGATACAGCTTTATCTTATGCTTCCTTAAGACATGGACATCCCTGTGTCTTTCTATTTATACTTGTATTTTGTATTTGTCCCAAACAATAAAGAATAAAATAAATAATCAAGGTTGGTGTTTGGCAGACTGTTAAAACAAAAATGAGTTATAGATTACAAGGAGAAAAGACTCAGCCGCTTTTCAGCATAGCATGTATGTGTTCTGTATGTTGCAAGCACATGGCTGGCTGCCTCTGGCAGATGAACTGCCTGATGCTCTCTCTGCCTCATAACTTTTAAATAAACCAAAACCAGATATTTGCCCTTAATGTTTCATTAGAATAGGATTGTCAAAGTGTAGAACGTTGTAATAGTGTACAGAGTCTGCACGAGTCCCTTTTAGAAAGTTAAAATCTCATTGATGAATGCATTTTCATTTCCCTTCCCATGTATTGACAATTTTTGTTTAATTAAAGATTGATTTAACAATTAATACTTCTTTAGAAGTCATAATTGGCTTAAGGACTTGGCTTTGCTTATAAACTATCTCAGATTCTGTACATGCAGCTGAATGGATGTGAACTTCTACCTAGGATCGATTTAACAATTAATACTTCTTTAGAAGTCATAATTGGCTTAAGGACTTGGCTTTGCTTATAAACTATCTCAGATTCTGTACATGCAGCTGAATGGATGTGAACTTCTACCTAGGATCCTGGAGTGCTGGTATCTGCAGGGGTGTCCACAAAGGGGTGGGGGGTGTTAAAAAGTTAAGAAGGTGGGTGCAGCTATGCTATTGAAGTTCTGCCTCTTTGCATATGCATCAGTACAACAGGTGGGCTTTCAATCATGCGGACGTGCAGCCACTTTGACTTTTTTGAGCCTTGAGTGATTCCAAACTGCCAGGACCACGGGAAGATACCCTTATTTTTTTTTTTAAATAAATCTTTCTTAGCTTATAAAATTTAACACAAACAAATACCTAACAAACATAAAATGAGAAGAGCGAGTAGAGATAGAAAAAGAAAGAAAAAGAAAAAAAACCCCTAAAGGCCAATACCACACAGCCACAAAAAGAAAAAAAAATCACGAAATTTTTTTAAAAACAGGGTTTCCTTCTAACTAAACAGTGACTATTTTAACTATTTACATGTCTTCTTCTTTTCTTGGTTCCTTCATCTTGTCTTTGTTTCTATTTTATTCACAGTTCTTACTTATCACTCTAAATGTTCATCTGTATGGAGTATATCGTTTCCATATAGCCAAAAAAAAGGTTTCCAGTTTATTATAAAATCATCGACATCTTTATCTTTTAGCTGGTCAGTCAGTTTAGCCATTGGAGCAATTTCCAAAGATTTGAGTAACCATTCCTCTAGGGTTGGTACGTTTTCCTCTTTCCATTTAGCTGCATAGACAACTCTTGCTGCGGTGATCAGATGTAGTAGAAGATTTCCATGTTTTTTCTCAATTTCTTTGTCCATAAATCTGAGTAAGTACAATTCAGGTTTCTTAATCATTTCCATTGTCAATATTTTGCAAATATTTTTATGTATTGACTCCCAATATTTTTTAACTTTTGGACA